GGATTTTTGCATCTATGTTCATTAGTGAGATTGGCCTATAGTTCTCCTTTTTGGTTATGTCTTTCTCTGCTTTGGGTTCAAGGTGATGCTTGCTTCCAGGAATGAATTTGGGAGTATTGCTTCCCTTTCAAATTCATTGAAGAATTTAAACAGTAGTGGTGGTAGTTTCTCTCTAAATGTCTTGTAGAATTCAGCAGTGAAAACATAATGACCCGGGCTTTTCTTAGTTGGTTAGTGTTTAATTACATTTTCAATTTCATTGACTGATATTGGGTCATTTAGAATTTTTAGGTCATCCTTGTTCAACTTTGGTAATTCACATGTATCCAGGAATCTGTCTGTTGCTTCAGTATTTTCCATCATATTGCCCTATAGGTTCTCAAGGTAGGTTTTGGTGATCCTCTGGATTTCTGTTGGGTCCATTGTAATTTCACCCTTTTCATTCCTAATTTCATGGATTTGGGGGGGTCTTTTCTTTCCTTTTTTTGATAAGGTTGGCTAAGGGTTTGTCAATTTTGTTTATTCTTTTGAAGAATCAACTCTTTGCTTCATTGATTTTTTGTATTGTTCTCTTAGTCTCCATTGCATTGATTTCTGCCCTGATCTTTATCATTTCCTCCCTTCTATGGGCTTTTGGTTTGTCCTGCTCTTCTTTTTCTAGAAGCTTGATGTTCAGTGTCAGGTTGTATAATTGAGCTCACTCCATTTTCATAATGTATTTACTGCTATGAATTTCCCTTGTAAGACTGCTTTCATTGTGTCACATAGATTCTGATATGTTGTATTGGCATTGCCATTTAGTTTTAAGAATTGTCTGATTTCTTTAATTTCCTCTGTGACCCATCAGTTATTCAGAAGTATGTTGTGCAGTTTCCATGTGTTAATGAAATTCTTGTGGCTTCTTTTGCTATTGATCTCCAATTTCATCACACTATGGTTTGACAATATACAGGTGATAACTTCAATTTGTTTGCCCTTACTTAAACATGTTCTATGAGCAGGTATGTGGACTATTTTAGAGAACAACCCATGCATAGCTGAAAAGAATGTGTGTTCTGATTTTGTTGGGTGGAACACTCTGTAAACATCTGTTAAGTTCATTTATTTAAGAGTTTGATTGAGTTCTAGCATTTCATTGTTTGTTTGGTTTTTTGTCTAGTTGATCTATCTATTTGTGAGAGTGGGGTATTAAGGTCCTCCACTACTATTGTATTAGTGCTTATATGATTTTTCATGTCCATTAGTATTTGTTTTATATAGTTGGGCTCACTAGTGTTTGGTGCATATATATTAAAGATTGTAACCTCTTCCTCTTGGATTGTTCCCTTTACAAGGATATAGTGTCCTTTGTCTCTCTTAATCAGTGTTGGTTTGAAATCCACTTAATCTGCAAAAAAGATAGCTACTCCTGATTTTGGGGGGAGGCGGTTCCTGTCCCATGGAATATTGTTTTCCACCCTTTAATTTTCAGTCTATGAGTTTCTTTTTGAATGAAGTGTGTTTCTTTTATGCGGACAATTCTTGGATCTTGCTTCTTGACCCATTCTGCCAGTCTATTTCTTTTGATTGGTGAATTGAGACCATTAACATGGATGGTTATAATTGATATGTATTGACTTATCTTTGTCATGACTTTTTCTTTCTTTTAGATTGTCCCCCTTTGCTTTTAATTGCTTGTTGTGCCTGATGGATTCATTCTGCAGGTCTTCCTGGGTTGTGATGCTCATTGTCTTTTCCTAGGATATTGTTTAAAATTTTTTGGAGTGATGGTTTGGTATTCATGAAGTTCCTAAGGTGCTCTTTGTAATGAAAGTATCTTATTTCTCCATCAATTTTGAAAGATAGCTTTGCAGGGTACA